TCCTATCTTAGAGCAGATTCCTCCTTGGGGTAGGTCTCTGGGGGTGACAGGCAGAGCCCAGTGACCGTAAGGATCTGTCTAGGAATTCTGAGGTTGTGGCAAAATGCCTGCGGGGATGTCCTGAGTAGCTAGCCGTACAGAGAGTCAGTGGAGACATGCTGAGGTCAGTTTTCCTCCTGAGAGGTTAGGCACTCAAGGCTCAAGGTTTGACTGTGCCTCGTCTGTTCTTGTTATAGAGTATTCAGGTGGCTATACTATAGTGTGGGCAGCACCAGATACCTCTGGTACCTATTCCTGTCTCTACCGTGGGCATTTTGATGTTTACCCCTTGCCTAGCCAAGGGTGGGAAAGGACCAGGGTTGTCTCTGGGATCTCGGGCAAGTGCCATCCTCTCATTATTGTTCTGACGCCTGGCATTTCTTCTTGACCTGACCACGAGGTAGAAAGCAGGACTTGGGTTGCTCAGGCTGGGAAGGTAAGGAGAAGGGTGTCTTGGTGGGAATTGGAAGGCACAGAGACCTCAAGCTGGCCATATCGCCTTAAGGGTCTGACTGACTAGGCTCTGACTGCTCTGGATGGGACACAGTGCCTGCTGGGGATCCAGGTAGGCCCTACTGTGGTTCTAGAAGTTGCTCATATGTCTCTTCATGCGTGAGTCAGAGAAGGTTAGAACTTGGGTGTGGCAGGGGAGAGGAAGGCTGTTGATGGGTCCACTTGGGGCTGAGGTTGGGGGTTAAGGTAAGGATTCCTGTCTGGGTGTCTCTTGCTATCATGTTACTCAGAGATAGCAGGCTTTCTGCAGGCCCTGGTCCATCAGTTACCACAGGTAGAGCCCTGCCATCCTCAAGAGAAACTTCACCCCACCCTGGGCAGCCCAGGTCTTCCTGTGATGACAGCCTCTCCTGTGGCTGCCTTGGCTCAGGCTTGTCTTGTGATTGGCGGCAGCAGATACTAGGGGTTCTGAGGAGTGGTTCTATCTGCTGTTGGGTCCTGCGTTGCTAGTTCAGAGCTCTGGTAGGCACAGGGAAGCAGTGGAGACTAGAAAAGTGGTTGGAATTCACTTTCACTGTCAGGCTGCCCGGCTTCTGCCATCCCTGCAGCCCTAGTGCATGGACAAGGGTCTTGTCCCCTGGAGAGGATGGGAAGTTGATCTGCTAGGGCTTCCTACAATCTACTGCTGACCAGGGGACCTAGAGTAGTAGGCAGAGGTGGCCCTGCCCCTGGCACTGGGCCCATTAAGCCACAAGCCTGTTTCTTGCCAAGTGCACTTCCAGGACCAGTCTGGTTTCCCAACTCCATTGAACTCAAGTTTTGGGTGTGGAAAATCCCACCGTGCTAGGTGGAGCTGAGCACTGGGATGAGGGTGAGGGGTTGGGAATCTAGGGCCTGAGGACATGGTGGAGGCCTGTTTCTCCACAGCTGCCCCTTCTGACCTGTCCGGCTGCCGATCATGCCTTTTGAACACTGACCCCAGGCTTTTTGGCTTCCTTCCCAGTCCTCATTCCCTGACCCTTTGTGTCCTGCCAGGAATCTCTAACTAGAGACAGGTCTGAGGGAAATCCTGGGGCCAAGGAAGTTGAAGAATTAGGGTCTTTCCCAGGAACCCTTAACCTTGTCTAGGGCTAGAGGCTGATCTGGAAGTGAGCAAGAGTCCTAGCCTGCCCTCCCGTGACCCCTCTACATCTGTCTACTCCAGTGCTGAGGGTCTGCTGCCTGTGGCCAATGGAGAACAGCAGAGTTGCTAAGAGAATGCATTATGTAAACCCTCAGGTATAACATCTGTGGCCTGGCAGGTACTCCATTGCCAGGCCCAAGGATAGGAGATGTCTTAATGTTCTTGGTGGTCTGAGGTGAGGTAACCTCAGGGTCTTGTTTGCCTATAGGGTGGTGAAGGAGGAGATCTTCGATGACAATGCCAAGTTGCCCTGCTTCAATGGCCGAGTGGTTTCCTGGGTGAGTCTATGGGTGGCCACACCAGAATGATGCGGGTAACTGGACAAAGGTAGGGCGGTGGCTGTCATCTGCCCTGGGTATCTGTGGGAGTGGTCGTGAAGCAGATGGGCATCCAAGGCCTCTCTCTCCCTCTACAGCTGGTCCTGGCTGAGGGCGCTCACTCGGATGCAGGATCCCAGGGCACTGACAGCCACACGGACCTGCCCCCACCTCTTGAGAGGACAGGCGGCATTGGGGACTCCAGGCCCCCCTCCTTCCAGTAAGGCCCTTAGCAGGGGCGGAGACCTGCCACTGCTGGGTACTTGTTACCCAAGACCCACCTGGGAAGGGTGATGCTGACAACAGAGAAGGGGACTTCAGCTGGGTGGAGGGACCTTCTAGAACTGGGGTCCTACATGGTGGGTTGGGGACTAGGAAACATTTGGTCTGCCCAATTCTACCTGCTTTTCGTCTGTGCAGTCCAAATGTTGCCAGTAGCCGTGATGGGATGGACAACGAGACAGGCACAGAGTCCATGGTCAGTCATCGGCGGGAGCGCGCCCGACGTCGAAACCGTGATGAGGGTACTGTGGCTGTGTCTGCCCAGATCTGGACCCCAAGCTTCCTTTGGGATTCCTTTAGTAGACTCTAGGCCCTTGGAAATACTTCACACATTCTTTCAGTGATCTTTGGGTAGAGATTCCAACTTGGTATTTCTACCCCCTGTGGCCTCAGAGTCCCTGCATAAGCTTGAAATGCACAGGCCATCCTCATCCTGTGACTGCTGAACACAGTCAGCTCCCACCCCATTGTCCCTACAGCTGCCCGGACCAACGGGCACCCGAGGGGGGACCGGCGACGGGATCTGGGACTGCCTCCAGATAGTGCATCCACCGTGCTGAGCAGTGAGCTTGAATCTAGCAGCTTTATTGACTCAGATGAGGAGGACAACACAAGCCGGTAGGTGGTATGTACATATGTCTGTGTGTGCTGGAGAGATTCATGCTAATGAGTGCTGGCTGGCTGTACATATTTGTGCCTTGTGCTTATCTGACTTCTGGTTCCTGGCTCTGGTCTCCTGCTCCAGACTGAGTAGCTCTACAGAGCAGAGCACCTCTTCTCGGCTAATTCGCAAGCACAAGTGTCGGCGGCGGAAGCAGCGCTTGAGGCACACAGACCGGGTAGGCAGCAGGTGGGTGGGGTGTCTGCTCTGAATGGTGTCCACACAGCCCCTCATTGGGTCCCTCCACAGGCATCCTCCTTCAGCAGCATCACCGACTCCACCATGTCCCTGAACATCATCACCGTCACTCTCAACATGGGTGAGGCCTTCTGGGCTGGTGGGTGCTTGGTGGGGGTGGGTGCAAGCCTAGGAGCCTTTGGGGCCTGCTCACGGCCCCTCCTGCAGAGAGGCACCACTTCCTGGGCATCAGCATCGTGGGCCAGAGCAACGACCGGGGTGACGGCGGCATCTACATTGGATCCATCATGAAGGGCGGGGCTGTGGCTGCTGATGGCCGCATTGAGCCAGGCGACATGCTGCTGCAGGTGGGTGGGAGCCATGTAGGGACTATGGGAACAAGATGCACCCCCTTCCACCACCAATCCCTGACCCCACAAACCCCGCAGGTAAATGATGTCAACTTTGAGAACATGAGCAACGATGACGCTGTGCGGGTACTTCGGGAGATCGTATCCCAAACGGGGTGAGGGGGGATCCGTGTGGGGATGGGAAGGGCATGGGATGGAAGGGGTTTTGTGGGCCTCATCCATGTGATCTGCTGAACTTTACATACAGGCCCATCAGCCTCACAGTGGCCAAGTGCTGGGACCCAACCCCTCGGAGCTACTTCACCATCCCAAGGGGTTAGTGACCCCATGGAGGGGTGGGGTAGGGTGGGGTTCCTAGGCCCAGTCTGAAGCGTCTTTCTTCTCTGCCTCTATCACCTGTCATCTGCTGTGCTGTAACTGTGCAGCTGACCCAGTGCGACCCATCGACCCGGCCGCCTGGCTGTCCCACACGGCAGCGCTGACGGGTGCTCTGCCCCGCTATGGTACGAGTCCCTGCTCCAGTGCCATCACTCGCACCAGCTCTTCCTCACTAACCAGCTCAGTGCCTGGCGCCCCACGTAAGTGGCAGCTTACACGAGCCCTGGCAGGAAACTGAGGCTGAAGGACAAGGGTTCACCAGAGCTCTTCCTGGGGCCCATTGTATATAATGTGTCTGTCCCCAACACCTTCACAAATGTGTACACCAGGATACATGCACACATCTCTCATAGCCCAGCCATACTGGCCCTCTGGATGCATTGAAGGATCTGCCAGGCCTGTGTTGAGGATTGGGAGGACACATGGTAGCCTCTGCTTTGCTTTCCTGCTGCCTAACATAACTAACAGCTTGAGCCCTCCAGGAAGGTGTCCGTGGGGGAGGGAAAGGGACTGGCTTGCCCAGAAGTACTTGGACTGTGGGACTGGGGAGAATATCCCAGTTTCAGCTCACATCTGGAAGAGAGATACCACTTAAGAGTGGGAGATAGACGTTTGATCCTGTCCCCTGCTCCCAACCCCACGGAGCTCAGCCCCTGTGTGCTGGTTGCCTGCCTGGGCTCAGAGAACGGTGCCTTGCAGAGCTGGAGGAGGCTCCGCTGACCGTGAAGAGCGACATGAGCGCCATTGTCCGGGTCATGCAGCTGCCAGACTCAGGGCTGGAGATCCGGGACCGCATGTGGCTTAAGATCACTATTGCCAATGCTGTCATTGGTGAGTCCCTGGCTGTATGGGAAGGGCCCAGTCTGTTCTTCATTCTGGTGAGGCGTCCCAGGGCTCAGCTACCCTGACTTTCATGGGCCTATGGCCAGGGGCGGATGTGGTGGACTGGCTGTACACACACGTGGAGGGCTTCAAAGAACGAAGGGAGGCGAGGAAGTATGCCAGCAGCATGCTGAAGCACGGCTTCTTGCGGCACACGGTCAACAAGATCACCTTCTCTGAGCAATGCTACTATGTCTTTGGGGACCTGTGCAGTAGTGAGTAGGGGGGTCACTGGGTGGGGGTTTTTGTGGGACTCATCCATTTGCCCTCGCTTACCCGTCCCCTCCCTTCCTGCCAGACCTTGCGTCCCTGAACCTCAACAGTGGCTCCAGTGGAGCCTCAGATCAGGACACACTGGCCCCACTACCCCACCCATCCGTGCCCTGGCCCTTGGGTCAAGGCTACCCCTACCAGTACCCAGGGCCCCCGCCCTGCTTCCCACCTGCTTACCAGGACCCTGGCTTCAGCTACGGCAGTGGCAGTGCCGGGAGTCAGCAGAGTGAAGGTGAGAGTCATGCCAGCCCCTCCTCCACTACCACCCCCTGGCTCTGCCTGGCCTTGCTGCTGTCCTCTGTGCTCCTGCTGTGTGTTTGGGTCCTGGTGGGGCAGGGAGGGGGCTGATGTGGGGACTCACTTTGGTTCTGTGGGTAGAGGCCTTTGGGAATAGGAAGACTGCCTGGTGGGAACAGGCCTGGTATTCCAGGTGGCAGAGGCAAGAGGCCAGGAGATGATGTGGCAAGAATGAGGGCGAGAGTAGCCAAGGGCATCTAGTAGGGTTCCTCTTACACTCTAGGCCCCAAGCTAAGGAAGGCATGGGCTTTATTACTTGTGGTACCTGTAGCCCAGCAGAGTGCCATGAGAGTGTATCATCTTAGGGAGGGTGGGTGTCCCTGAGGAGGAGGTGGACTGAGTGGGGCACAGCAGCCATTCTACAGGGTCTGGAAAAAAAACTCAAGACAGTCAGCTTTGAGAACATAGGATGGGAGAAAGGAGAGATTGGGCTGGAGGGTGGCAATGCCCAAAGGGAAGCTGTTGAGTGACTACTGACCCTGGATAGGCCTTTGCATGCACCAAGCTCAGCTTGGCCCACAATAATCCTAGCTGACCATTGGTGAGCACTGGACTGGTGTGTGACTTGTGCTATTCCTTGCTTTGTGCTGAGCAAGCCTTAGACTGAAGGACTAGCAGAGTGGACCCTCGGGCCGGTAAGCCAGGTCCCCCTGTGTCCCTCTCAGCATGTCCCCAGCCAGCACGTGTTCTCAGGTTCCCACAACTTTCAGGACAGAAGCTAAGAAAATTAGCTGACCAGGGCCCTGGGGTTGGGTGGTCAGTGGGTCTTTGGGTGGTGAACCCAGGATGGCTAATGGGAATGCTGGGCACACAGGGCCTTCACTGGTATCTTAGTTTCTCAGCTATAACATCAAAATCAACCTTGGTTCAAGCATTGGGGTTAGGTTTGGGGTGCCAAGTTGGCCCTCATTATCCCTCCTGTCTGCAACTGCCCCTAGCTCCTTGCCTCTCATCTGCTCCTGGTATCTGCATGGCTGCCATTCCCCTACTACCCCCAGGCTCACCAGGTTCTGCCCTGGCTGTCTGGGAACAGCTGGTTGTCCTGGACATGGCCAGGCCTGGTGCTGACTCTGTGGTCCCTTCCCTTCTCCCAGGAAGCAAGAGCAGTGGGTCCACAAGGAGCAGCCATCGGACCCCAGGACGAGAGGAGCGCCGGGCAGCCGGAGCTGGGGGTAGTGGCAGCGAATCAGATCACACGGCACCAAGTGGGTCTGGTAGCACTGGCTGGTGGGAGCGTCCTGTTAGCCAGCTTAGCCGTGGCAGTAGCCCTCAAAGTCAGGCCTCAGCTGTTGCCCCAGGGCTCCCCCCACTTCACCCCCTGACAAAGGCCTATGCAGTAGTGGGCGGACCACCTGGAGGGCCACCTGTCCGGGAGCTGGCTGCTGTTCCTCCAGAACTTACAGGTAGCCGCCAGTCCTTCCAAAAGGCCATGGGAAACCCCTGTGAGTTCTTTGTGGACATTATGTGACCATCAACCAGTGTTTTCAGTGCTGCCTGTGGCAAGAGTCTGTGGTCCTGCTGTGCCAGGATCTCTATGGACTTGCCTTAGTGGTGGCCAGCCAGGATAGATCAGCTGTGGGGTCTGGGCCAGAGCAGAGGGATCAGGCTGCAGAGGAAGGGCTGAGAGCAGCAGCCATACTAGGATACGGGCTTGGCATCCTGCCTGCTGTGTGGTGCAGCTCAAGTACAGTCTTGTGAGGAGACATCTGTCTTTAGGTCCTCAGCACAAGTCTCAGGGACCACCTCCTGGTTCCTTTTTTGGAAGTGACCTCCATTTAGGAAAAGAAGACTCTCTTGGGTTCTGTGCACACCTTCCCCCTCCCCAAAAGAAAACTCTCCCAGAACTGTGCACAGTGGCCCAGACTGACTATCACTGAGTTCATGGGCCTCACCTGTCGGGCCAAGGTAGGGTTCTTGAGGGGTTAGACAGAGCCTTTAAACCTCTCTGGCTGCCCATGTGGGGTCTAACTTATTTATTTATTGCTAGCCTGCCTGCTCTGAGGGTGGCAGCTGGTTACCCAATGGGGGCAGGTGCATGTCCCTTTCCCCCCTTGGTACTCAGCACATGACAACAGTTTGTACTGGGAGTAGGTGGAGGATGCCTAGTACAGGAGACAAGAGAGGCCAGGTCCCTTTACACTGTCTCAGCCTCAGCGGAGGGATGATAGCACACACAGTAGCTACAGAGATGGGGTCCTGTCCTATCATTGCTATCTTGGTGGCTGTCCACCAGCATGTGCCACTGCCATCTTGGCACGGTAGCCCCACACATCTGCACTGTAGATACTGTGTCAAAGTCTGAGCAGCTGGGTAGTTCGCATAGAGATGCTTCTGTGTAAATGCTGCTTCTGTGTAAATGCTATTTTAAACACTAAAAAGCGTTTAATTTTATGGGATTGATGTGTGACCTGCTTCTCTTTTCTCCAGCTAAGCTGCTTCCGTATTCAGGTGTAGGGGCCAGTCCAGAACTGACCCAGGTCTGAGCCTGCCTGGAGTCTCTTCCCACTTAGTCGTGTGGCTCTGTCCCTGGTGCTGGCCAGTAACAAGGGTCTTGTAGGCAACTTTTCTGTCCTTGGTACTAGAAGGACTCCAGGGGTCCTTGGTGGCTGGTGCTGGCCATGGTGCTGACCCTGACCCTTGCTCATGCTCTGTCCAAGGTGCTAGTAGTGACTTGGTTCTTTCCTACCGGCCAGGTCTGGGTCAGGTCGGGAGGAGGAGGCTGGATGTTGCCTGTCTACCTCTTGAGTGCCCTCTTCCTGCTGGCTTTCTTGTTTTGTTCCAGTACATTACATATGTCCAGCCTTCTGTTTCTGGAATGCCTGATCAGGGTGCTGAGGGCCCTAGGCTGGGCATGTTCAAGCAAGCAGTATGTTCTTGCCTCTCAGGGTCTGCTTAGAATATTCCTAAATTCAAGATATGGCTATGGAGTCTGAAAGAACACTCTGTGGGCCGCTTTCTAAGATAATGGATCTCGGTCACGTGGGCAGGCCTTAGGTAATGCATGCGTAACAGGATCAAGGATGATCTTGCCTTTGGGGGATAGGTGGGATTATAGGCTCCATCTTGCACACTGCAGGCCTCGGGGTGGGTCACTGTGGGGCTAAGGTCAGTGGATGACCTGGAGTCCGTCTGTAGATAAGTGTCCCAAGTCTCAGGTTGAGGTACTATCTGTGGGTGTCGGCTGGGTTCACTAAAGGTGAGGTCACTGTGCCCCTGAACTGTCACCCCCACTGCTACTCCCATCTGCTGCCTCCTTGGGGCCTCCTCCCAGGAAGAACTCCTGGGTGTTGAGCTTTGGCAGCCACAGAAGTACATAGCATTTGGGTAGGTGGAAGGTGGCCAGGATGCCCAGGGCACAGAACAGAATGGCACCCATCTGCACAGCTGGCTGATAAGTCACATGCACATTGGCCAAGAGGGGCACAAAAGAGACCCAGATGATGAAATAAGCTAGCATGGCGAAGGTGAGACCACGGGCACGGTTGTAGCGACCAGGCTGGCTCTGTACTAAGAAAGTGCCCAGGAAGCAGAGGAAGGCCAGCATTGCATGGGTGATGTGTACCAAGCCTAGGCTGACCCAGGAACGCATGCGGCAATGCTCCAGAACCTCTGTGGGCAGCACCAACCAGTCTGTCACCATCTCTGGTGGGAAGGATGTCAGGTACCAGGCACATAGTGCCGCCTCCACAAGAATGGCCAGCAGTACCACCAGCCAAGCCCAGGGTCCCCGAAGGCAGCTGCACAGCCAGTTTGCCCAGCTCAGTGGCAGCTCAGATTCCACAAAGATCTCAGCTGCTTGCAGGAAGAGTGTGCTTAGGCAGCCTGTGAGAGGAAGGTGAGCCAATGGCTGTTGAGCAAGGCAGCTGGCAGGGCTTGGCCGTCCTGGGAATAGAAGGACACTGAGGCAGAAGAGGCCTAGGCAGACCAGGCCAAAGCAGAACCGTGACCCACCTGAGGCCTGAACAAGAGGGCTGTCCCAGTGGTGGATGAAGAGCCCCAGGGAGGCAAGTGCTAGGCCTAGCACCAGGCAAAGCAGCAGGAGCAGTAACAACACAGTTGGTTCTCCCCAAGCCAGGAATTTAGGCCTACGAGGTAAGCAGCCTGTGCTTTTCTCTGGGGACCACTGATCGTGTTTACATGGAGTACAGGCGAAGTCATCTATAGTAAAAGAAAGAAAAAGCAATGTGGGGTCCAGTGATGGGAGACAGAATTCCCCAGCTCAGCCCCTGGCAGGTGCTTGCCTTCAGCATTAGCCTGGAGGGGAGGCCCTTGCCAGGCCTCTGCCCCCTAGCTCAGCTGTGTGGACTGTCTAGGGAAGGTGGCTCACCTGGATGCTTCTGGTAGCTGCCTGCCTTGCAGTCCTCACAGTCATAGCAGCAGGAATGGAAACCCTTTACTCTGCGCACCTGGCCTTCTTTGCACTGCCGGGAGCACTGGGACACTGGCACCTGGACATGGAGCCTTGGTTAGGCTCCCTTGGCTAGCACAGACAACCCCAAGCCTATCCCCACCATGGCTTCTGCTTATCTTGTCCTTACCTGGTTCCCTGGCCAGTACATCTCAGAGTGCTGCAGCTGCAGGGTGCCGTTGAAGGTTCCCACGGTGTGCAGTACAGGTGTAGGGCTCTGCCACACCCACATCTTCAGGTCATACTCCATGTCTACGTTCCCTTTATCGTCAAACTGCAGTGTCAGGTTCCGAGCACGGAAACTCATGTTGTACATGTTCTCCAGGAGCTGTGGGTTGGGATGGGGGTAAGGCTGACCCATGAGCCTCTCCAGTCAAGACAGGATTTAGCTCTCTCTGCCTGGTGGTTCAGTATTCCTGAATGAGCAGGCATAGACCCAGCAAAAATCCTACCCTCACCTGCCAGGGTTGAACAGGCTCTGATGCGGGGCAACTTGAGGCATTGCACTGTAGGGTGTTGTGAAGGGCCTGGGCCACACTGTACACAGCTGCATAGGTTGCAAAAATCTGGTGGTGCAACTGCCCAGCTGATAGGTTCTGCAGCAGTGCAGATGTCAGGTTCTGCAGCATGACGTGGTCACACTGTGGACAGCGTTGCCCCATCACTTGCTCCTCCAGGTCCAGTTCAGCATTCAGTGAGGCACAGAATGTTGGGTCAGCAGCTAGGGCCAGGTGGGTCTCCACATAATGGGGGAATTCGGGCAGCTCGGCACCTCGCTGCAGAAACCCAAGCACAGTGCCCACACGGGCAACATTGGGTAGTGTCGTGACCATGTCAGAGGTCAGCCAGGACTCACTAGCCACCCATACCTTGGGTGCGAGGCCCTGTTGGATGCCGTAGCTAAAAAGGGAGTAGACAGCACGGGGGGAGGCAAACAGCACCACCACTTGCACGTTGCTTTGGTTCACTTGTTGTAGTACATCAAACACCTTGTTAAGCTGTTGAACACTGGTGGCATGCAGCGGCACCAGGCCCTCATGTGCGATGCAGATACCTCGTGGATTGGCCAGGCTAGAAAAGATGCTCAGACCTTCCCGACCATAATCATCATCACTAGCTAAGGCAGCCACCCAGTTCCAGCTGAAATTGAGCAGCAGAGCCACAACAGCCTGCAGCTGCAACCGGTCACTGGGCACTGTGCGGAAGAAGGATGGAAATGTTTCCCGGTCACTGAGCCGATCCATGCTGGCGCTATAGCTGACCTGTGGTGATCAAGAAGCACCTCCTGCTGTGAGAGCTCAAGGACACAAGTGGCTGAGGGAATAAAAAGGGTGTGGGGCTCACCTGTGGCATGAGGAAGAAGCTGAAGAACTTGCCTGTGATCAGGGCAAGCTCTGATGAGTGGGGCCCAATGACAGCCAGCACACGCGGCTGATACTGTGTGTAGTTGCAGTAAGCAGCAATGCTTTGACTGCCCACCTTTGCCATGAACATGAGACTGGGCTTCATGGTGACTACCGGCTCTGAGCATGTGTCAAATAGGTCATAACCTAGGTGCAACCCAGGGAGCAAGGCAGATCCATTGTTGATCTCCTCCACAGCCATCTTCATAGCCATGACCAAAAACAGACCAAGGGATGAGAACCTGAAGCCACATGGGATTGCAGGTGCTCACCACCTTACCCCCAGCTTAGGAGTACCACAGACCCATGGCTACCAAGCCTTAAGCCCACCCCCACCTCAGCTACTAGCCTCCATACCTGGTACACAAGATGCTATTGGGTTGTGTTCTCTGGTTGAGGGTGTCCTCCTCAGTTAAGCCCAGGGGAAATAACCCACCCAGTATGTAGTCCCCTTTTGCCTTGAATTGCTGTGATAGGCACAAGGAGGCCCCCATCCCAAGGCCTGGGAGAGCAGCCAGGCTGAGGCATAGAACAACCGGGTGTGGCATGGTAGGTAGAGACTTCCAGTAGAGACAGTAGGATGTGCTGGAGCCCCAGATATACTGAGTCCAGGGGGAGAGAGCAGAGAATTTGTTTAGCAAAACTTCTGCCATGCTTGGCTGCCAAACCCCCAAGGGGCTCCGGTGATATGCTCAATAGCTCAGACCTGATAGTTTGTATATACTGTACTCCTCTTCATAGTGTTAATATGCTGTCTGTCCAAGAGAGACCCAGCATGCCAACTGTGACCACCGACTGTGGTCTTGTCACTTGACTATGCCCAAGCCCCTTGGCACCCTTCATGCCTAGAGCAGCCTGGCAGATGGTAAAGGGGAAGATGGAGAAGCAAGCACTCAGGGTCCCAGGGCTTCCCTTGACTGGAATAAGGGTGGCACTAGGGTTATACTTGTAGGCACAGAGACACCTTTTATCTTCTGGCTTCTGATTTGAGGCAGTACTGTCAATAGGCAGGGACTGCAGAGGTAGTCGCTCAACAATGACAGTAGACAGCTGGTTAAGGTGGGGTGGGGAGAGCTGGAGCTGAGTTTCCTGGGTGTCCTAACCTGCCTCGGTCCTGGGGCAGACTCATTGAGGGTCCCAGTTTTCCTGCTGTTGTTCTGAGAGCTGTAGAGACCCTTGCTCTTTCTGCTGATCCTTGAAGTAAGCACTCCTGCTTTGGCAGACATGTAGGTACCTCCTGCAGCAGAGTGCTCACAGCTGGCCCATGAAAATGAGAAAAGGCCATAAACAAATAGGTTCCTGCAGCTGCTAGGGCCAGGTGTGGGTGTGTCTGTATGCAGTCAGTGGTTCCTTCTTAGACACTTCCCTTGTTCTGCCTAGTTTTATGTCAATTTGACACAAGTTAGGGTTATCTGAAAGGAAGGAGCCTCAATTGAGAAAATGCCTTCATATAATCTGGCTGGAAAGCATTTTTTTACTTAGCGATTGATGTGGGGAGGACCAGCTCATTGTAGGTGGTGCCATCCTTGGGCTGGTGGTCCTGGATTCTTTAAGAAAGCAGGCTGAGCAAGCCAGTAAGCAGCACCCCTCAATGGCCTCTGCATCAGTTTCTGCCTCCAGGTTCCTGTCCTGACTTCCTTTGATGAACAGTGATATGAAAGTGAAGTGTAAGCCACACAAACCCTTTCCTCCCCAAGTTGCCTTGGTCACAGTGTTTCATCACAGCAATAGTAACCCTAGCTAGGATATCCCCCCCTTAGTCTGGGTGTGAGGGAGCTATTGCTAACACAGCAGTTTTCCGGCATCCGAACATTGGGGAGGCTGTTGACTCTTGTTTGAATAGGTGCCCGGGTAATCTCAATGTTGTATGGCATCCAGCAGATGTTATGGAAATTACCTTTGCATTTTTCTGCTGCCCTGTGAAGATGTCCACAAAGCACATGTACATACTGAACACACATGTATACTATGAATCTGTATGTGACACGTATATCTGCTATTGTATCCTTATTTTCTGGCCAGTCTCTTGAAATCTTTTTAATGATTTATTTGCATTGGTGTTTACCTACATATGAGTCTGTGTAAGGGTGCTGGAAGATCAACCCAGGTCCTCTGGAAGAGCAGCCAGTGCTCTTAACCACTGAGCCACCTCTCCAGCCCCAATCTCTGGAGGTCATCAGCCTTGGCTAGCACTGTGTGGCCTCAGGTTCTTAGACATAGCTGGAAAATACATAGCCTAAGCAGATGAGTTGGGTACGGTGGAGAACCAGGAAGACACCACTCATTATGTACCCTCTATCTAGGTGGATATTGTGTAGAAAGTAGTTCTAGTTTTCTCCAGCTTTGTCACACAGTGCCTGGGTATCTCCAGACCTTTCTCAGTCTGGCCCCTCAAGGTAAATGACCCAAGTGTTTCTTTTCTTACCTGTAAAATGGAGATAATACAGATCTCAGTGTATGTGTGTGATCAAGTTAAGATATACCAGGCACAAATGCATGGCAGTTTCTGCGGTTCTGGCTGCCGGCTAGACATGTTCCATGCTTTCCTGGTTCACATTTCCCTTTGAGTCCTCAGTCCATCTGGTCCCTAAAGTTAACCCCTTCCCCACCCATATGGGTAGGTACTTTTAAGTTCTTCCCCACATAATAAGGCACCTGGCACACCTGTGACCCATCCTAGAATGCCATACCCAACCATGTAGGTGTAATTTATTTATGTTGTGCTACACATATCATAGTTCGTGAGGAAAGAGATAGGTCCCAAAGTTTGCATTTATACACATCACCTATACTGGGAACACTGTCCTAGGGTTTAACATTAAGACCCAGTGGGAGAGAGGTTAGGGTCTTATGCTGGGTATGGTCATCTGTCAGCCCCTTCCATAAGTCATGTCCTATCTAAGTCACCTGTGTACCATGGTGACAGGAGCAGCAAGCTGGATAGAGAGAGGCGTGGTTTGGCCAATTAGTATTATATTTTATTTTATAGTCTTGGGGGAGGCCACCTTCTGAAGGCTGATACTGTATTGCAGAAGCTGTGAAGCAGGCTGCACTGACCAGAGCACGCTTTTCTGAGGAAGTCTCAGCTAGCAGTTTCAATGGTCTCCATTTCCAAGGAGACAAGGGCCTGTTTGATACGCCGAGAGGCTAACAAGGAGGCAGGGGAAGGGCAAGGAAAAGGGTCTTCGGTATTCGTGTCACTGCCAAAGGAGCCTCATCTTACCCAAGGACAGCTTCTGGAATATGAAGGGGACCCAGGCATGTAGGCCCAGGGCTGTTTATCTGGCACTGATGCCATGTCTTAGGTTCAAGATGGGCACAGGAAGGATATGCACTGACTGGGCATGTTGACTGTGGGGAGACAGAACCTCAGTTCCAGGGACCTGTGCCCTTAAACCGTTTCAGTTTCCACACATGGGAGGTAGAACATGGCCCTCCTCCCCCATCATCTCCATGTGCCATCTAATTTCAGTAAGGCCTGACTGAACACACACATAACTGAAGCAGAGGGCGAAAATGGAGTTCAATGGTCTTGTCCTGGACCAAGAGCACGGCTACCACCCACCTCACTTGGTTCAGCTGCTGCCACCTTTCTCTTCACAGCCTGTGGCCCTCGACAAGCCCAGCTTTCAGGGGGACAGCAGCATCCAGAAAGCACTGCTGCAGGAGAGGTCCCAGGCTGCCCAAGCCCAGTTCTGAGTTGGGGAAGCACCCTTAGGGCAGGTCTAGCAGGGAGTGCTCAGCAAAGAGCTTCTGGGAGATGTCATACACATTCTCGATGAAGGGTAGGGCCTCTCCCAGCATCTCCACTGATTGCTCAGAGGAGCCCACATTCATGGCCTCGAGGAAGACCTTTCGTGTGGGCAGGGCGCAGAAGGCCACAGTGACAGCTTGACGTACGATCCAGGAGTGATAGGCAGCCAGTGTGGCATTATAGGCATCACTGCAGAGCGTGGAGGTACGAGCATCCTCGGGGCTGGTGCGCAGGCCTTCGAGGAACAGCTGCAGCCAGCGCAGAGCACGGTGCAGGCGCAGCACAGTCCGGCAGCCTGAGTTAGGGTATCGGGGCCGCGAGCGGCGATCTAGGTCTATCAGCTTGTTGCCCACCTCGTAGGCGACCATGGACTGTAAGCTGGTGTAGTGTTCACACTGCGGGCTGTTCCTCAGACTTTCCATTATCTGCAGCTTTGAGACCACGTCCTTGGAGATGAATGAGAATACGGCACCCAGGTTGTTCAGAAACCTGTACAGGGAAGTATAAATGTGAGGCCTACCTAGAGGGCCAGCCAGCCTGTAGTGCAGGAGACATTACCTTGGATGTGCTAGAGTGCTTGTTTGTCTGGAGGCCAGGGAAGGAAGGTTTTGGAAACTGTCTGCTAACTGTGCCCATGTCCCTATGCCCTGCGGGATGCAGGGGCCCCCATAAACGCACCTGACTAGCCCCTTCCAGCTGGTAATGTAGTGGTCCAGCAGCACTTGCCCCTCTTCAGTAAGACACTGCTTGAAGCTGACCAGGACGACTTTAAGGTTGAAATCTGACTCTGGGTCACTCATCTTCTAATGAGCTGAAATAGTTTTACACAGAACACATAGTCATCATGCTGGGTTATCTAAGTGTGGCTCATTTTCTCAAGAAGGGGTTGGGAAGATTTGAAAGAAAAAGTTAGGTGCTGAAATGGCTTGCTGAGAATCACCCCTTTTCCTGAGTGCCTTCCTCAGGAGCTTAAAGCTCCCATAAGCCAATCTGACCTTGTTGTGCCCTTGATGGATCCTATACCCACAGATCTTGCCCTTTAGCTAGTAATTTGGTCAGTTCCTGACCTGAGACTCCATGGCTGCACTGTTTGCAGCTGCTACTGCTTTTTGCTTTTCTGTTTTTTTCTCTTCCTAAAGCACCTGTTTCACATATTAGAGGAATGTTTCCAAAAGGTAGGCATAGTCCTCCTGGCCACACCTGGACTTCACCGTATCAGGGTAGCATTCTGATGGGAAGTTGTACCAAAACAAAAACTGGAACTCTTAAAAGAGCAGGTGATTCTTCCCTCGGGAGAATGGGAAGGATGGCTGGACAGGCTTTCCTCTCCTTGATCAAGGTTTTATCCCCCAAATTAAAGCAGAGGCTGTGGGCTGGCAATTGCTAGACAGACAGATGGACACTCCTGCTGTTGAAATGGTATGTAATCCCTAAACAACAGGGTAGCTGGTGTAAAGGTCTTACCACACCTGAAGGATTGCTATCAGTCCTCCCACTAGCTTCAGAGAACATTCTGGAAGGGATCCAGGATAGAGGCCTTAAGGTAAGGTGGGGCTCTGGATTCTGCAGGCATTTTCATAGTCACTTCACAAACATTACAGTTCCCACATTTATCTTCAGCTGTGGGGACTGAGCTTAAGAGCTTCTTGTATGCAGGGCAGGGAATAGCCTAGGCAAGCAAGCCTTTAACTTTTTTTTTTTAATCCAAAATGTGTTTATTGGGATGGTTCCCACTCATCTCGAATCAGGTGCTTTTCATTGCTGCTTCCTCCTGAAGGAGCATTACCTGTCAGTCTTGCTTTCCCGCCTGTAGGCTGACAGAGGACAGTGGAGCAGCCGACAGACAAGACCACCGTCTGCGCATGGCTAAAGACCGTGGTGATTTTATAGCATCCTGGGCACTTCACATCCGTAAAGTAGGAATTGGGGCTCTGCACCAGGTGCTTTTTCTTGTGTTTCCTCTTTTCCTCCTCTGGAGAGGGATGAAGGAGATCCTTTGCGAGAGGCATGTTCTCGTAGGGAGGTTGTCACTGCTGGACAGTTAACTTTCTTTTTTTAATCTTTTATTTTATTTTATCCTGGCTGTCCTGGTCCTCACTGTGTAGATCAGGCTGGCCTTGAACTCAGATCTGCCTGCCTCTGCCTCCCAAGTGCTGGGATTAAAAGCAGTGTTACCACACCCGACTAGGCCTTTAACTACTTTCAATCTTCCTGCTTCCTGAGTAGCTAGAACTACAAGCCTGTGCCCCATGCTTCTTTTGTGCACATACCTTGAAAGGATAACTCCAAGCATCCAGCCCTCACCTTCCATGGTACCCTAAGAACCTTGTCTTGGTGTCTAGGACCAGCCCTGTGAGACGTGGTTGCATCTCACCTACGTCCTGCATGAACACTCACCAACAGTTCTGGCGGTTCCTGTGTCCCTTAGTGCTGGATCCCTGCCCTAACCGCTGTACCATCAGCCCCCTTCCCCCCCCCCGCAAACAAAACAAAACAAAACAAAAACCCCATCCTTACCAGGGGTATCTCTGTGCAAGTTCCTTTTTTTCCTTCACACAGTCCTATGACTCAGTCCTTCAGCTCTGGAAATATGGTCTGCACGTCTCCCGGTCCGTGAGCGAGGCTGTCAGCGGTGATATGGCCCCATGGGTTGGACTGGATGACTGGCACAAGCTCCAGACCCTGAGCCCGGAAATGGACTCACCTTGTGTTCAGGTGTCAGGGACAGCCTCAGAAAGATGGCGACAACCAGTCTTACCACACACCCCTCTCTTAGCATCTGCTCTGCCCACTGAGCAAACAGTCTCTGAGGCGCCCTACAGTTCATCTCTTGGTCATCTAACAATCCTACAACCAGGCCTTCTTGCCCAGAGACTATATCAGAAGCCAGGGAGTCCTTAGAGCTGTCCGTGGTACATTGGAAAGAACAGGAAGGGAGGGAGACTCATCAGTTTCCGGAAGGTGAAGCAGGGCACATCTAAGCCTTCTACAGAAGATCAAGCTAGAAAGGGTGGACAGCCCGGCAGAAGGCCCCATAAGCAAACACACAGCAAACACCCAGGCGTAGTAGGGAGCTAGGGCCGTTCAGAGAGGCCCGCAAATCTCACCTGGGATGGGTTCCTGTGGCGGGGGATCGAGGCCGGTGATGGAGAAGGTTGACGAAAGCTACAATGAGGCTGCTGTAGGAGCCAAGTCTTTGCCCGTCCCTTCCGGCTGTCTATGGAAATGCACTCCGCGGCCTGGATCATGTCAGGTAGGCGTCCCTATGCTTGTACCACGCCCGCAGCCTGTTAGGAGGCAGCTAGAAGACTGCGGTTGGGCACAAGTCCTGAGTTGTAGCCCCAGGACCTCAGCCCCTGCCCCGCCCTTCGCTGCCGCGCCATCCCCAATTGGTTGCTGGTCGTCCAATTAGAACTCGACGGACGGGCCCGCGTTTCCGGCGCGAGGACAGGAAGCCGGCTTCTTGGCGGTTGCGCCTGCGCAGTGTGTGTGTGTGTGGGGGGGGGAGTCGCGGCGGCCTGGTGTTGACGCTGAGCTGCGCGCGCGAAGCTCTGAGGCTTCCCTGCGGGCGGTGCACGCGGTCTGTGGGAACGATGCCTGAAATAAGAGTCACTCCCTTGGGTGAGTCCGGGTTTGACCGTTTTCTGCTGCGTCCGGCGAGTCGGGCCGGTCCCCATATAGCAAGTCTAGCTATACAGCCAGCGATCAGCCCTCCATCAGCTGTGCGCCCCAAGGTCTGCCTGACGCGGGATTGGAGAGATTGGGGTTGATTTCTGGTCCTAGGGTCCGATATGAGTTACGGAGGCCCAGCTTCTGTACTTAGGCTTCTAGCAGCGAGACGTGAATGAGATCCTGAAGCTCAAGGTGGCTGTGAGGTGAAATGGGTCTTGGGCAGGCATTGCCTTTGTGTTTAGCTTGTCAGTGGTGGTAAATGAGCCCCAGAACTCGTCCTGGAGATTTTTCTGTCCTGCCTGTGGATTGCTGCTTCAAGACTCCTGTGCTCCGGCTTCTTCCTCACTTCTGGTTTTCTTTTCACCTCCCCGACCTGCTTATGGTGCCCAGGTTGCTTGCTATCACCCTTCAGTTCAGTCTTTGTGTCTGGTTTATCCCGAATTTTAGAAAGTATGTTTGTTCATCGTAGAAAATAAAAATCTAGACTCCTAAAAGTCTTAACAGCAACGTATGATGTGTAGGAGGAAACAACCATTTGAAAGCTGGGATTCCAGAACCTCCTTGAATGTCCCTGGGCTTTTCTTCATGCATGTGTTGCCAGGGTGGTGAAAGCACCTTCTCATTCTATGATCCAGATCCCTAGCTCATCTTGGTTAGAACTTCATCTTCCCAATTCACTGCATCATAGGACCTCAGCAGGACCAACTTCTCATCCTGACTACCCCATCCCATCTAAGTACTAACTAGATTACATGATCAAACAAGATCAAGCATATTCATAGACCCGGCTCTCTAATTCCTACCTCCGACTGGGAAATTTTTATTTTGTTTTCTGCCACAGTTATGACATTTTGGGCATAGTTGTTTAATCTCCACCTAAAATACTCCATGCTTAATTGCCTCATTCCCTTAGGATGTAAGTCTGCACTGTGCAGAGATGTACGGACAAGGTAGTATCCATTGTTTTCTTCTCAGTTTTGGCTCCGATGCCTGACATCTCTGCATATAGGCTCTGTTCTTTCCTGGAATCATAAGTCGCTTTGGGAAGAACATTTGCCAGTGCCCAGGAACTGGGCTTTATAATTCCAAAAAGCATACTCTGGCAGCATTCTTTGTGTGACTGTGGATTCTTGTGGTGTCAGGTTCTCCCTGTAAGGGGGCAGCCATTCCCCTGCTATAAATGTTTCGAGGGCTTCAGGGCTGGAGGTATTAAGGGGAGGGACCCTAAGATCTTTCCCTCAGCTGGGCGGTGGTGGCGCACGCCTTTAGTCCCAGCACTCGGGAGACAGAGACAGGTGGATCTCTCTGAGTTCGAGGCCAACCAAACTGGTCTACAAGAACTAGTTCCAGGACAGGCTCCAAAGCTACCGAAAAACCCTGTCTTGGGTGGGGGGATCTTTCCCTCAGGGATTACACATCTTGAGGGGGCAGGAATAGGGCCTTCAGGAGAACCTGAGACCAACTCCTCCCCAGCCTCATTGTAACTGGCTACAAAAGGAAAACAGACTTGACCATGGCTGATGTTTATGTTACTGATAGTGCATGGTGCCTGAAGTTGGCAGATGGAGACTCTAGGATCCAAGATGGGAACAAGACTGTTAGTTGTTCTCAGACCCCTGTTGAGACTTGGATCTTATCTCTCTCCTTATGAACCCAGATTTGAGGGAGATAACAATTAAGTGGGGGAGATAGCTGTGTCCAATGTGGTCAGTATCGTGGGCTGAATGGTTGGGAGGGTTACTTAGTCATCAAGACCATGGGAGAAACTCCCATTGAGGCTGAGCTATGGAGTCAGTGGTGTGGGGCCTATGCTGCCCACTGACTAAAGTGGGCTAACTGTGTCAGGGCCAGTTAGTGGTCAGAGTCATGATTCTTTACGACTGGACTTGAGGCCATATGGGTATGGCACCATGCAACACTAAAACTCAGGATCCAGGCCGCAGCCTCTTCAGGAAGAAATACAAGAGAAGAAAGTCTCCTTGATTTGCAGCCCCCCTGAGGACCGGGGTCATTGGACTAATGTCTGGGGAAACAGTGGTGATATTCCACAGAGTAGTGACTGCTTCTTTTCAGTGCTGGGGACCACAGCCAGTGCTTACTGCTCTGCTAGCAGGTGAAGGGAGTGGTTCCCCATTGTGCGGTCCCTGTACCTGCGTGTGAAAGTGCCTGTTTGCATGTGTCTTAGGGCCTACAGAGTCCAAGGTAGTAAGTAGTTCAGTGGAGGTCAGCCCTTCCAACAGTGAGGGAGGGACATTGGCCTTGCCTCTCACATGCCCTTCTTGAGCAGGGGCTGGCCAGGATGTGGGCCGCAGCTGCATCTTGGTCTCCATTTCCGGCAAGAATGTCATGTTGGACTGTGGGATGCATATGGGCTACAATGATGACGTGAGTACTTGAGGTGGGGTGGTTCAGAGGGCAGCAAGGGTCACAGCCTACTTACTAATCATGTTCTAGCTAGCCATGTGACTCCTGGGACCTTAGAGAGGGTACAAATGGGGCAGGTGGGCAGTGGGGGCATTGCTGGACAGATATACCTATGCTGGGTGGGGACAGGTGGCTCTGTCACTGTCACATGGTGCTTGAAAAGTAGGGCCCAGCTGAGACGAGCCTCTTGAGGTTCCTCAAGGCTGGTGGTGATTGGATCTTTTGGGCTTAACTACTTGCTATTTGTTTGTGAGGTCAACTAGTAGCTTGACCTTTCCACGAGGTTACGAATAGCCAGTAGTAAAACCACTGATGTAAGGATTTGCTGGGGTCACTCCCTGGGGTGCACCACTCTTGTTTCATGGAGACCCTGGGTAGCCTGCTATGTTCCAACTCTTCTCTTGTCTCATTAGAGGCGCTTCCCAGACTTTTCCTACATCACCCAGAGTGGCCGGCTGACTGACTTTCTAGACTGCGTAATCATCAGGTAGGTTCTTCAGGATTTTGATGCCCTTCCTTACACCCTATTGTAGAGGCTGTGCTAACAACCAAGCTGCATTGTGGCTCACTCTGCAAAGTGGCCGTTATTGCCTCAGAGCCAGGAAGATGATTGTGCTTGCAGTTTGTGCCCTTGTCATGAATTAAAGCCTAGTAGGTGCCTCAGGAAGTAGAGACCTAGCCAGGGTAGCCAGTGCCAAGATGTGCCCTTCACCTTCCAAGTGTGGGGCCTAGAAGACCCCATGAGACCTTTTCCCAGCAGCACCTGGCAGCAGTGATCACACCCTCTCACTAGTTCTTCCTTTTTGACTAGCTAGGTACATCTGCTGTATTTCTGCTCTGCTCCCCCTTCCAACCTCTAACTCTGGTTCCCAAACTTTGTTTTCTCTTGTTTCTTTGCTGTCAGAAGAGTGCTAATCCCTGTTGCTCACTGGCTGTTACTGATGTCCTGCCTCCGATTGCTACTACCTCATTCTGGTAGAGCTGAGCAAGGGTAGACATCTTTCTTTGCTCCTTGGCTCCCATTTTTATGTCTGTCCAGATGACTGGCAGCTGCTCCTGGGCCCATCCCTTCCATAGTCCCTGTTGTCACCTCATAGTCAAGTTGGCCCCTCTGACTGTAGTGCTTCCCTCTCAACACCCACCCTGCAGCCATTATCCAGAGTGTCCTTTGGCCTGTGGCAGCCTGACTTGTTAAGCTGTGTCCTGGGTAATTCAGGCTCTAGTGTTTGGTTCCTTCTAGACATGGATCACTCACTGCCTGCCTGCTTTGGGTTGACTGGCCCCACTCTTTCTGGAAGGGTATTCTCAGATTTTGCCCTGAGCTGTCTCGATTCTGTCAAGATTTCCTGACTACCTGACAGATAGTGGCTTTTTTCCTAGTGTGGTATTTGCTGGCCTGCCTTTTATTTACTTACCAACTTGTCACTGTCTGATTCAGATGGTGTGCTTGTGTTTGTATTTATAGGAGGCTAGAGACAATCTCACGTGTTACTCCCCCTTGTGGTTTTGTTTTTGTTTTTTCTTCTTTTCTTTTTCCAAGACAGGGTTTCTCTGTGTGTCAGCCTTAATTGTCCTGGAACTCTCTATGTAGACAAGGCTGGCTTCAAACTCAAAGATCTGCCTGTCTCTGCCTTCTGAGTTCTGGGATTAAAGGTGTGCACCACCATGCCTGGCTAGCCCTTGTGGGTTTTTTTGAGATAAGATCTCTTACTAGACCTGAGTTCACTAATTAGGCCAGGATTGTTGCCAGCAAGCCCTAGGGATGTACCTGTCTTCACCTCCCCAACACTGGTATTGTGAGCACATGTATACTATGTCCAGCTTTTTATGTGGGTGCTAGGAATCAAACTCAGGTCCTTTATTTATGTAAGGCAGACACTTTATCAACTGAGTAATCTCCCGACCCTTTGTTATTGTTTGTTTCAGTTGCCAATACCTGATTGATTGATTTATTTAAGATTTGTTTGTTTTCAAGATGGTCTCAGCTAGCTCCAGCTGTCCCAGATCTCACTATGTAGGCCAGGCTGGCCTCAAACTGAGAGATCTCCCAAGTGTTAGGATTAAAGGCCTGTACCACCACTGCCTGGCTGCTTTGTTTTTGTTTTTGAGACAGGGTTTCTCTGTATAGCATTGGCTGTCCTGGAACTTGCTCTGTAGACCAGGCTGGCCTCAAATTCACAGAGATCTGCCTGCCTCTGCCTCCTGAGTTCTGGGATTAAAGGTGTGCATCACCACTACCTGACTGCTTTTTTTGTTTTAGGCAGAGTCTCCTGTAGCAG